TCTTCTGCTAGCCGTTTGCTTTCTCGGACCCCTAGAAGACCTGGGACGGGCCCACAAACGCGGCCATGGCCCTCATCTCCTACCAATATGAGGAGACGGGGCCACCAACAGGTCAGCTTGATGGCATGTGGCTGAACGCAGATTGTCCTTGGGAAGTATACAGTGTCACAGGCCATCGAGTGAGACGGACAAATTCTCATGGCACCCGAGAGTTTAGCATCCAGTGGGATCCAGCACGGAGCTCGTGGCAATGGGGAACGCATGGTCGGCTCAGCATGCAATGGCTTGGGGTGGACTCGATCGCATGGGTGCCAGATATGTGTGAACATCAGAATGGTCGCGTGTGGAGATGGCGACGTGTGCAGCCCAGTCCTCCAGTCACAATGCATCCACGCCGGAACGACTCCCGAGTGACGATGGCCCATCCTAGAGACCTCCATCGATCTCGGGAGCGGCGATCAAGTCGAAGCCGAAGCCAGGGCCGGCACTGGCACAGCCATGGCCACAGCCACAGCCGCTATGGTCGCAGTCGGAGGAACTTTTCAGATGCACAGCTACCATGTGGCTTGACGCACCGTGAGATCTACAGCTTACTCTCTCGTGAGATAACGCCCGAGGACTACGAGATGTTACTGCGCCTTGATGACGCCGTCCCCAAGGCCAAGCCTGCAACCGAAGAAGAAACCAATGAATTTCTCAAAGTAGTCCCGGTGCAAGAGGTTCTTGGTAAAGACTGCCCGATCTGTCTTGCCCCGTTTAAAGAGGATGACAGTGTGGCAGCAGTGCCTTGTGTCTGTGCTCATACTTTTCACAGAGAATGTATTTCTACTTGGCTCTCCAATTACCGGAGAACCTGCCCACTGTGTTGCACGGAGCTCGAAAGAGCCTAATCCACTTGTGCATAACCGTGTGGCACGATGCTGAGCACCTTTTTCTTCCGTCCGCCCGGGGGCAAAAAAGAATTATTTTTGGTAATTTGGCACGGCTTGATTGACCCAAGCCTAACTTGCACTTCTGAAGGCTACGAGCGCAGCTGCCCAAAGGGAATGCTGGAGCTCATGGCAACAAAAAATCTTCAGCCATGCTGCTATCCGTTCCCTTTGCTGAGGCACAATCACTGTGCAAGCAGCTTGTTGCTTCATAGCAACATGTGTACATAATCTTTTACAGGATGCGACCATGCGTCTGGGCTGCTTGGCTGCGAACCCTCAGGCACATGCACGCGTGAAGAAGGTGCAAAAGCACCTTGCTTGCTTCGTCAGATCACACGCGTGCATGCCATCTTCAAGACGTAGTGCCCTGCGGCTTGGGGAGCGCAAGCGTCGCAGCTGGAGGGGTCTGTTCGAGTAGAGTCGAGTAGGCTTTGGGGAGAAACTTGCAAGACAAATTTGTGGAGAGCAAGAGGAAAAGAAGCTGTTGCGATCCAGACAGCATCCAACGAGCACGGGGCAAGTACTGCAGCTGCAGCCCCTCTGAGCTTTCTGAAGACCTCAAAGCCTGAAGCCTTTGTATCCGTGCTACTGGTCATGGCAATATCCTCAAATCCAAGATCTAAGGTGGCTCGGGCTGAGCTTCGAACCTCCCGGTGCAGAGCTTTGCAGACTGTGGGCTGACAGCGTAATCCGAGTCCTCTACCATTGTTTTGAATTGCACAGTTCAGCCGTAAGCTGAAAGCCACCTCCCTGCGGGCATGTGGCACTTTGTGACACGGAGTGTTCTAAGTCATTTGGCGTTCTGAGGCGTGCCTTGCACTCTTCACAATTTGAGGGTGTGGCACTCGGACACTGCGACCCTGCTGCGGGCTCGCTGGGGCCCAGCTTGTTGCTGCTGCCGCCCAGGTGTTAGCTGGCATGATCGGTATGAGCGGTGGCAGGCAAGCACAGTCTTATTGTTGTCAGGTTGAGCTGGGTAGAGCAGCACCCCATGCTGTATGTCAATGCATGCGAACTTCTCAAGTCTGCGGCGCTACTACCATCGCCTAGTGGCACTCGCCTGCTTCTGGGCTGTAGTTGAGCTGGTCAACAGGCGCAGGTCGTGGAGCCAGAGGAGGGGGTGGCTCAGCAGCACTACAAAGGCTTCCTTAAGGCTTGGGGTGCTGAACTTGAGGGTATCGAACATGATCTCATCCCCCCCTTCCATATCTTTCCTGAAATCCTGAAATGACGTATGCTGTGGGCATAGTTGCGTACTTAGTGCTTCATGAGGCTTCAAACCAAGATACAAAGTTTCAGGTGCCCTGAGACAGCCTATCATAGACAGCTCGAGCATTTAACCGACCTGAGCATCCCTGAGCCCTCAACCTTAAGAGTCTATCGAACCTCACCGTAGTATCTCAAAACATTAAATCCCCGCACATCCGTGGACCTAAAGGCTCAAAGCCCCATACTGCATACATACATATACACATGAATCTGTATACATATATACACATACATGTATACACGCAAACATACAGATATGCATCTATCTCTGCAAGTGTTCCTATACTCAAAATGCAAATGATCAAGTAATCAGATATGTATGTATACATATATATATACATACATACATAACATACATACATACATACATCCATGCATGCATGCATGCATGCATGCATGCATGCATGCATGCATGCATGCATACATACACACAATCAATATATATATATATAGACAGATAGATAGGTAGGTAGGTAGGTAGGTAGGTAAGTAGATAGGTAGATAGGTAGATGGGTAGATGAGTAGATAGGTAGATAGGTAGACAGACAGGTAGATAGATAGATCGCATGAATGTATAAGTGCATAATATTTGCTAACATAGTAAACACACATATATCTAGATGCATATCCACACACTTCTTTTATTTTTTACTTTACACCTATTATATGGGGATTTCCCCTAAACCCGAAACCCTAAACCTTAAACCCTAAACCCGAAACCCTAAACCCGAAATCCGAACCCCTAAACCTGAAACCCTAAACCCCGACTTGCCCTTGAAGCGCCCAAGGTGAGTTTGAGCCTCGGCCTCTTTGCCTCAGAGCAGGATGCTGCGAAGGCGCAACTACTTAGGTGTTTCGCTATGACAGAGCCACATGCCATTTGGTGTTTAGGATTTAGGGTTTAAGGTTTAGGGTTTTAGGAATAAGGTGTGTGCCAACAAAACGAAAGAACACAATGAATTAGGTCGCAAAAGATGTTTCGGATTCAAAGATCGAGTCCAAAGGCACGCGCGATGCAGTTTCCATATTCATTCCATCCAACATCCTTTCCGGTTTCCTTGCAATGTCCTTGATTTTCAGCGTGCAGGTCGCCTGCGATTCTTTTCCCCTCATCACACCTACCCGACCCCTTAAGGCTAAGAAAGGAAACTGCGATTGCTGAGCGGTATGTGATTTTCAACCGTTCGAGGTTTCCTACTGTTCCATTTCACGGCTTCGGTCGGGTGTTGTGCTGATAAGGAGTGCAAGACAGGACATTATCTCCATTAAACGGTTCATCCGAAGACAGCCCACATGAAACACTAACATACCCCTCCACCACCCACCCCCCCCCCCCCCCTTAAATGCTAAACCCTACAACACCTTGCAAGAGCCCGGGAACCCAGAGGCCTACGATTGCGGCCTGCTCGCCCTCAAGGCAGCGGTGGCCACTGATTTTTTTTCTGGTGTAGGGCTTACCTAGAACCTAGTAGACCTGCCTGTTTAGGGTAGGTTATTTTGGTTTCAGGTACTAGTAGGAGTTAGGGCTGGGGACCTCAAGCTTCCACATCATGAGCTAGACATCCCCGAACAGGAATTCCTAAAGCCCAACTCAGCCCAAAGCTTCGAATGTACTCCAGGCAAGCGAGGCACCAGTGAACTTTCCCGCCAAGAAGTACAAGCAGTGCGATATCGCTTGGGGCCTAGCAACACCTGACACGACCGAATGCTGAGGCGAGGCCTGTTTGAGTTTGCGGCTTATCTTCAGGCTGGGCGAGTGTTACGATTCATTTCGGGGCTTTTTTCTCGCTTCTTGTTGAACCCTTGGCCTTCAGAAGCTGGCGCAGCATGAGTTACTTTGCGTGACGAGGTCAGGGCTTATTGCTGTCTAAATGGTTGGGGGTTTCGGGTGTAGGGTTTATGCAAGCAGTCATGGGACCATCCAGAAGCGAATCACCTGTGGATGAACTACATAAGCAACGATATGATGGCCCAGAATCAGTAAGAGATCTGTGCTGTCTCCAAAGGACCAGGGTCGCGCGGTGCACGTTGCGAATAAACCTTACCAAGAGCCTTCCTAAATGGTTCCCCAGCCTGAAAGGACCGTAAAGCCCGAATTGACACACTGTCACAGGAGGCCAAAGGCCTCATACAAAGTGATTGCACAGGGAAGCTAACTCCCAAGCAGCGGAGCGCGCTCCTTGGGGATATCTCCCACGGCACCTCAACCCTCTTAAAAATTTCACGGCGAATATGTATAAAGACCTTGCACTCTTGCCAATCACTTTCATGTGCCCAGCAAACTCGACCAGTTCGGGATCGCAGCTTCGCTGGTCCGTCATGTTGCGGGTATCCAGTAATGTTGATTGGAACTGTCCAACCTGTTTGTCTTGTAAACATGAAATACAACTCATAAGCAGAAAACCCATTGCGGTCAGGCGCCCGTTTTTGTTGCACCATAAAAACTCCACGATAATGTTGCAAATGGCGAATGCATTACAAACCCGTCGGTTGGTAGAGGCATATGGGTGTAGGGTTTAGGGGAGTATCTTGACAAAAGAAGTACTTGTTCGAACCCAGGCCCACAACCCACAACTCTTGGAGTTGATAGCACTCCGGTCTTTCAAGGACCACGTCGCAGACGAGCTGGAGGACGTCTGGTTTCCCCGGCAGTCCGCGAGGCAAAGCTCGTCATGCTCGTCTGAGGAATCGCACTCTTGCAGACCGCAAGCCATATGCGTGTTGCATAACGCTTGAGGCCTGAGTTTAAGGTGCCCCAAAAGTCTTGAACAAACAACCGGGGGCCAAATGACCAGGTTCATGGGAGTCTACCGAACTCTCACCAGCACGAAGTGGCGAGCCGAGCTTGAGGCACGGGCACTCCTGCTCCAAGAGCACTCTACTCCAGAGCTTCGCTTCTGCTCAATGCTCTTTGAGAGGACTCTCTATGCACGTCTTTTCAGTGGTGACCCCTTGTTTGTTTCTGAAAGATTTACAACGTCAAGCAGTTCCTCGGCAGCTTCGATGACGAAGAGGAGGTTGGAATGCGGATAGAGTTTAGCGTGTAGGGTCTGGAACGGGCACAGGTCCCCCCCACTTGGTGCTGATTGATGGCCGTGCAAGCAGTAAGGCTTAAATTCTGCCTAAGAGTCTCGCAGTCGTTTGGTTGCTCGTGCTGTCTCTGTCGATTCCCACAGCATGTTTTTGCTTGTGTGTGTTCATCCGATTGCTCGGAGCACCACACTTTCTTCTGAATGGAAGCCCCCAAATCCGATATGTGATTTACGTGAGTTGCTCACGATTCTCTGCAGAGTATGCAATGCTCAACGGATCAAGGCCGCATGCTGTCAGCTGTGGTTTCGGTTTGCAGAGCTTCGTTTTCAGTTGACCCGCTAGCAATACATCTCTTGCGAATCTCGGGGTACATGACAGCGGCAGCAGGGCGGTTCTAAAACGAGCGCGCCAAGGCAACACAACTTCCAATGCATCATGCCTTGGGCATTTTCTCACAACGGGCAGCCCTACTTCTAGGTGTGTGGCGGCATGCAATCACAAGTGTAAACGGCGTGTTTCCTGGTAGTATCGGGCTTGTGCGGAGCCATGGGCGGTGCACAGGCATCGCTGTGCTCCTGCTGGGAGCGCCAGAAGCTGCACACAGATTTCCCACCTGGACCACCTCCCCGGCCAACACGCACCCACGAGCCCTTGGCAAGGGCGGCTACAGCTGACGTAGCCGAAGACGATGAAGAGGTGGACTTCGATCTTCGCACGGCGAACACCTTCCTGGAATTTCGCCGGGTGGCACGCATAAAAAAGCGCAGCCACAGCCTGCCAAAAAGCATGCGACCCTGCAGAGACCACACGGTCATTCCTGCGGCAGCAGGCAACATGGAGGAGACTGCTGGCGACAAGGTTAGTCGTGTTCCCGAACTTCCGCCCCTGGATGATAGGTTCGAGCCTTTCCTAACCCCGGAGATGGTTTCGGCAGAGCGGCGCTGGAAGCGCGAGGTTCTGGGGCGGCTGGCGTGGCGAAACGTGCCAGCCAGGCCTCATAGCTGTGCCAATACGTGCACGCAATGCTGCCAGTTGTCGAACGACAGCTGGCGACTGGCAGCAGTTGATCCAGTGAGGGTTCCGGGGCATGCTGACCCCTGCAGGGCTCTACATTGTAGAGCCCTGCAGGGGTCAGCATGCAACGGAACCCTCACATATCATGCCAAGACTTCCGGAGCGTGCGACTGTGGGATGGAAATGAGGCACAACCCAGTGCACGCAGACCATGGCAACAAGAAGCGCCGCGTCGCTGCCAGCCGGAGGTTGGCTTGAGAGAAATTTGCAGCATTCTGCGGCTGCAGACTGCCAGTGACTGCTACGGCTATACAGGCTATACAGGTCAGGCCCCGCACCAACAGATATCTTTTATAAGCGGCAAGAAAAGATGGCGTGTGGCCTTGATCTTTGGGGTGATGTCCAGCATAAGAGCATTTTCGCGTCCCCGTCCCAGCGGTTGGTGGCGAGATGTGGCGAGCTGATTGATGAGTGCAACTGCGATTGCGAGCTTCAAGGGGGTGGCCGACATCTGCGTCGATGAGTAGCTGCCACGTAGTGCGAGGATTTGGACAGTTCGACAAGACGTTTATGTCGGACCTTTACTCTGGCATAGTCCAAGAGCCCGAATCTACAGCATCCTCCCGTACCTTTTGCCGGTTCCACCGAGTCCATGTTTAGTCTGTGGAGGTGGTTCTTGAAGCATCAGGTTGATGGACGTTGTCATCGAAACTTTGTCATGCTTGATAGCACAGGCCCAAGACTTGCACCAATTTGCAGAGCATGAGGTGGAGATGCTGCTATTTGGTCGGCTTGACTTTCAACTGGGGCGTGCTGCGACGATAATGGGACTTTGGTGCAGATCGTGCATTCTGACATTGGGAGAAGGTTGGCAGAAAAGCTGAGACCCCGCCAATGGCCCAAAGCCTTCCGCGTCTGCTGCAGAATCGGTATCAGGTCCTTGGCCCATGCCGAGACGATGCTACTACACATCACAGGGACAATGCTACTTCGACAGGTACAAATACCAAAGCAGATCCGGTATTTTGCTACGATTACTTCGGGTATTGACAATCCAAACGCATCAATGGTGCGACTCGCAGAGGCAACGGGAAGTTTCATGGTGGTCATCACGGCACCCACAGTCGGAGTCGTCATCATACGTAGCAGTTCGAAAACAGCTGCCAATGGTGATGATGATGATGATGATGATGGAGAAGACTTGATGCCACATGATACTGATGACGATGACGGCGAGGACGAAGACGACGACGAGGTTGATGATGATGATGATGATGGTGATGATGATGATTGTGGATGGCCAGCAAGAGCTTGTAGCGTAATTAAACTGGTCATGGTGACTACTCCTTTGCAACCAGCTTTGACCGGACACGAAAAAGGAATAATGTCGCAAGAGTGCTGAAGAAAAGAGCAATGTCCTCATATCCCCGTCAGAGGCTGCTCGAGCAGTGGACGCTGCCATCCGCAGCACGGGAGCTGAGAAGGCGGCTTTTGAGTCGAGGGATTGAGAAAACAGGGGTCCCTGTTCGGTGGTCCTGTACAATGAGGATCGTACTAGTGAGGGTTCTACATGCGGCTCCCCCTTTCTAAAACTCCCAGCTGATGCTTAGAAATTAGAAGCCCTGTTAAAATCTCATGGCCCGGAGATCAGTCTGGGCACTCCCAAGCTTCCCATGCAGCCCAGGCTCTCCAGCTTCGCATGCTCAACTTCTGTACCGATGCGGACTATTTCGAGGAGGATTCCTGGGAGGAGGACGTTTGAGAGAGTTCATGCCACGACGCAGAAAGCATAATGGTACCCTCTTCGGGCTTTCCATGCTCATCGACCCTGTGGTCTGTTTCTCTTCTGCTTTTAGGTCGTTGCTGTGGGATTAGCACAGCCAAGAGGTGCAACAGGAAGCCCGGTTACCTACACCACGGTGCACGAACCCACGATGCCATCCTGCAGGAAGCAGTGCCTCGAGGGGCGTCATCTCGCTTTATGGGCGCACGGCCCAAGATGCACCTTGTGCCAATGTCTTGGGAGAGATGGTAATTACAGCTGCCAGTAGATGCGCAAATCCTCGAAGCTAGACACTTCCAGTCTCTCAACAGCTGAGAGTATCGAATCCGACCTCGTCGGGCAGACAGTTTGGGACCTGCAGGAGTCACCTACCACCAGCCTAGCGGCCAATTCTTGGCCAGATTTGGTCGAAGGCCGGCTGAAAGGGCAGGCTCAGTGTGCAGAAGAGCTGTGATTCCACGTCAGCATAACGGTGCAGGCACCTCGGACTGTATGATGAGGAGGACGATGCTGCCCGTGCCTTCGACAAGGCACATCGCAGTGTTCCTCTGGGGTTTCGCTTTCGGAGTTAAAGATGCGAGATAGTTTCAGAGCTTGCCCTGTCATGTTGAAGCCTTGGGAGGGGTTCACTTTATTGAGTCACGAGCTGCGAACGTCACATCCCTGCACTTGAAGCAGACTTCAAGCCCCGGACGAAGGTTCGACCTATGGAGGATGTTATACAGCATGCACATACATCGCAGAGAAGCGGAGAGGGTTGGAGTCAGTTCCTGGCCGGCAGAGGGGCCTTTCATGTGCCTGAGCATGTCTACGGGTGAAAAGGAGTGCCAGACGCTAACGTGTTAAAGTAGCAGTAGGAGTGGAAGTAGCAGTTACTTTTCGGTCCGTGCCACGAACGTTAGCACGGCGGCAATAATAATAACAACAATACTAATAATAATAATCATCATCATCATCATCGTAAAGAGGTGGAGGTTTTTGTGCTCGGTGTCGGGCTATCGCAGCTGCTGGCCAGAGTTCGTCGCATGTATATTGGCAAAACGCATGGCCTGTAGCCCCACAAGACACCTCCTACTTAGGCTCCTGGGCTTAACTAGGCTTTTCGGGACCCTTAATCCTAGACTCACGTCCCCACCCACTCTGAGCAAAACAGATTAGTCATGACCCCAGGCATCCCACGAACGAGGAGGCCGAACGAACTTCCATCCCTCTACTATCGGCGCATGAGACAAAGAAAATTTGCTACTGCCGGAGATCTTGCCACGGTTCATTCAGCATAAATCTTCTTATCTCATATAGAAAAAGAGAAGGTAGATAAAAATATAACAAGAAAGGATATATACTAATTTTCGTTGGAAATTGAAAAATAGTTAATATGTCGCGGAGTGGCGGGCGAGGGCGTGTGAGGTGTGTCACGTGAGTGTGGGCGAGGGCGGAATGGCGGGTGAGGGCGTGTCGCGGAGTGGTGGGCGGAGTGGCAGGCGAGGGCGTATGTCTCGTGGGGAGTGTCGCGAAGTGGTGGGCGAGCGCGTGAATGTCGTGGGGAGTGTTGCGAAGTGGCCGGTAAGGGCGTTTTGTGTTGTGGGGAGTGTTGTGGAGTGGTGGGCGAGGGCGGGTCGAGGGGAATATCGCGCAGTGGCGGATGAGGGCGTGGGGGACTGACACCCATTAATAAATATTCGATTTTCTAAGCATATAAATTTATTATCGAATCGTATTGAGTAGATTAAGTGAATCCAAAAAATTTTTTAATAAATGCAAACTATATTTATATAAAAAAGATAATATATGAGAAATTTTGAATTTAGATAGTTTTAGTAATCGATTTGGGAGATATATGATAATATATAATTTTGGAAGTTTTAATTTTTATGCGTTTCTTTCTGAAAGCTACTTATATATTTCTCTCGTGGAATTAAAATTTCGGAAATTTTCGTACCGGGAACAATTTCTTCTTATTATTAAAATTTCCGAAATTTTGTGCTTTTAGGAAATGTCGCGGTAGTAAAATTTCGGAAATTTTGGTTGTTCGAGTGGGATACGTTGCCGGTAATAAAATTTTCGGTAGGTATTCTCGCGATTATAAAATTTCCGAAATTTTTGGGACATGCTCGCGGTCTTCGCGATAATAAAATTTCCGAAATTTTAGTATTGGGAGCATGTCTTAAATTTGGCTTCGCGGACCGATTTTAGGGCCGTTCGAAAAGCATATAAGAGACTTATAAAAAGAAACATGTCCTTATATCTTATTCTTATTAAAACGAGTCTAAATTTTATTGAAAAACCTTACTGAATTAGATACATATGTTGTAAATCTTACTAGTATTCTCTCTTAAATATATTTTATTTTCACAAATCGTCTTCCCCTCACTCTGCTTACACATAAACCTAACAATTCCGATTATACGTCCAAGACCCAAATTATTGCCTCGGTCCCAAAGTATATCATTTGAATTTGGAACTTGCTTCAAAAATGACTTCTCATACAGAACCTCTTTATCTATGTAAGCCTTTCATTACGTCCCTGAAAAATTAAAGTTTACAATCTGTACTCTGCTCAACGCGCAAATTTCCAAAATCCCTCGACCCAAAACTCTAAACCGCCCTTGACCTTTCCAAACCGCTCAAACTCAACCCCTGAACCGCCCTTGAATTCGAAATTCCCTACAACCGAAGCCCGTTGAACTTCTTTAGTCAAGCTAACCGGCGCTTCTCAACCTGAGCTGCTCGAGCACAGATAGAAACCTGCTGGTTGTGCTTCGAGATATTGCCTATGATGCCGGGCTTTGTAACGGTATAATGGCGATGGTCGCCACGCCACGGGCTCTTGATATTGTTATTTTGACAGGACGTGGACGCGGATAACGGGCATATATCCCCCGAATTCCGTTTAATTCATCTGAATTTTCTCTATCCGTCCGCATAGTTCACAGACAATTCCTTGTGAAATTCGGTTGGGCTATGACAATTAACATAGTCCAAGAACAAATATTGCAACGCTGTGGTCTGTACCTTCCACGGCCAGTATTCTCTCAAGTGGCTCTTTCTCGTGTACGATGCTAGTAGTATCCGTATCCTTCCGGAGCCGGGCGAAGGCCAAGGATTCTTATTCGATATTCATGGTCATAACGAACCGCCTCTCCCCAAAATATTGTCTGTTATAAAAGTCTTGTACTATTAATTTCTGTAGCGCCGACAAAGACCTTCGCGTCGCCTTACTCCCGCTGCTGGAAGCAGCGGACCCACTAGTTTTAATATATACCATTAATACGTATTATTTTAAATATAATATTTTCAATAAGAATAATATTCGATAAATAATATGAAAAAATTTACGACTATTAATTAATTTGCAATTTTTTTGAATAAAAATGAAATTTAATCGAGTCAATGACTAGAAATAAATAAAAAAAATCGATATTTATCGATACTAATCATATTATATATATATAAATAAAATATTCGGAAAAAAAATACGAGAAAGAATAATATACTTATACAAAATAATAAAGATATCTTGAATATTTTTTGAAAAAAAAGGTTAAAATTAAATCGGAATCTTATTATTTTAAAAATTATCAAATATACTATTAGTTTATATTTATTTGCCGAAAAATATAAATATTAATTATCTTCTCTTGTTCTATATATTTTTTATAGCCTCATATAAATCATACATGTTACAATAATCTCTTCGAAACGTCCTCCCCTTCATTTTTTTTTATCTTTTAGTATCTTAGATATTCGAATTTCCCTCTCCATAGATATTCATTTCGACATAACCGTACCCTCCATCCATAATATCTCCGTATTATAAACGCCTTCGATTTCTCCGCGATCCGCCCCTCGACCCATCCTTGCCCACCACTCCCTACGACCAACCTTCTTCCAGTCCGTACCACATATCCCTTTCAATCATCGATATAAGAATCAATCAAACTAATTCCGACTATCTTTATATCTTAAATCCAGTTCCGAGAAAAAAAACCCATCTTATCTTAAATCTCAATAAGCTTATAATTATATACCCCTTAAGTAATCAATCTTCTTATCGAAGAAAACTCTTCTAATATATTATATACGAACCACAAATACACTAATTATAAATATAGGCCCCGACTCCGTTGTTAAAAGATATGAATCTAATATTTTTTCTTTCAAGTAATAAACGCGTATTTAACGACTACAGGGATAAAATATTAAAAATTTCGAGCATGCGATACCAGAGAAGATTTCCTAGAACTTATGATGTTATTTCGACGAATTCTTCGCCGAATATATCATTTACCTAGACTTTCTAATTTAGGGTTTCAACAAAAGGTTCAAAGCCGAATTGCATTGGATGGTTTTACCAAAAATGTCAAGTCAGACCAAAAGGTTCAAAGCCGATTTGCATTGGATGGTTTTAAAAAATTTCAAGTCAGACACGCACTTTTTTGTATTCAAACGGGGGTAGCGGTATGGCGACTACGACGTTGGTGCGCATCGTCCTGGACCTGGCAAACCAAGAGATTTGATCCGTTCTCAATTGCACTACCCGCATCGAGCCTGCACGACGGATATCGGACGCTGATTTTGTTGTCGGATCTAAGGAGCTCAAACACTGCCAGGCTCATACTAAGCGATCTGCAATTCCTCCTTACCCATAGGCCATAGGCTCCAAAGTAGTTCCTTTTTCGGATTACATTATAGGAGCCCAAATACAAACCAAGAAGAGGAACTACCATGGAGCCTGTGGGTACTGCCCATATGCTAAGGAGCTTTGCTCCGTGCAAACATGTCCATGCTAAGCCTTTCCGGAGAATCTTGTTAAACTTGTGGCCGAGCATTTCAAACGAGATTGGCAATCTCTTATTGCGATTCCTTCTTCTTTCGTAGGGACTTTTGGTGGGTCAGCTTGTCCCTGGAACTCAGGAGGACATGGCCGCTGCACCGGAAATGGTATTTGAAGGCAGACCGGCAGCAGCAAGGTTCAAATTGAAAGAAACCAAGGTCCCAACATCCCCACCAAACCGATCTCCAATGCAGAATGACCAGATTCCATTTGGGCTTGTTGCCAAAGCATCCAAGTCGCCATCAAATGGTCGGACAGCATTCAATATCTATTGCCTCAGCTGTGTCTGGATTGGTGGAGAACAAATCGCTGGCGCCACCAGCCTTGGAGAAGCTGTGAGATATTCTCAGCCAGACTCTCGATCCAAATGACAAAATCTGATAGCCAAGTGTGGTCAATGCCCAAAGTGATACTCATTGTGTCGGCTGCACAAACCCCGCCCAGTGCGAAGTTCGCACACAGTGCTGCGCTGGGCACCAACTCCCATCCACGCTGTCTGGGTAAACGTTGTCTGGAATGATCTACGGTCGATCTCAAAACTTTGGATGACAACCGGAGTCGGAGGGCACGGGGTGGTGGTGGTGGTGGTGGTGGTGGCGGTGGTGGCGGTGGCGGGGGTGG